TATATATATATATATATATTTGTTGTTTTTTTCCAGACTGCTGCAATTAGGCTTCTATATTTTTCCACACAAGATTCACACAGCTTTCACCCAGGATATGTGCATTTTTCACTTTAATCCAAAAGGAAAAATGTGTGACTCTTTGATCAACACAGGGGAGTCATCAAGCAGTGTGTCACCCGGTGTGCACACCATTACATTACACATGATATCATTACACATGTGTGTAATGTCATGTGCACCAAAATGATCACAGTCAGTCATTTTGGTGTCACCCCCCTCTGGTGGCATCTGGTGCGAGCCTCACCCCTTGCATCCCCCTCGAGACGCCACTAGATGAAAGCTGCGTGAGTCTTGGGTGCTTACGTTTAAAGTAGACCCCATAGTGTATGTTTAGACAAAGGGAGGGGAACTAGCATTGTAAGGAAGCCCACAATGGCAACCTATGCTTCTCCCAAAGCAGGTCTCTGCCTAAAACAGGTGTCATTTCTGGGTGAACTGGCCCTTTAAATGCTGAGAGTTGTAGTTCAGTCAGTTTTGTTTCTGTCAGTAATGTGTTCATATGGGCTAAAAGTTCTGATAAAGGAGCATTCCTTCATAGGGAATCTGTCACAAAGGAAGGCACCTTTGCGAGAAAGCTTAGATAGCAGTCTTCCATCGATTTGCTTGAATGCATTAAAGCCAAAATCTACTGCATGGGACTGAAAACGTGTGAAAGGTTCAGACTGGTGGCTCCTCATGTAGATATCCTGTGTCTAGACCGCTTCCATTGAAGATGCATTGTCGTAGGATATTATTATTGGATTATCTTTTTTACTTCATTGTAGTAACAATGTCTTCTGTCCTGCAGGCGGATACGAATCCTTTCGCACAGAGTACCCACAGTGCTGCGTGGATCAGAAGAGTTTGTCGCAGGAAGAAAACGACAGCAGTCAGAACCTCCTTTGCGAGAAGCTTCCCTCCTTCCACAAGCCAAACTATGATCAGGTACAAAGGACTCTCCATTTAGATCTGTTGTACAGGTTGAGCTCATAGTAGGCAATCTTGGCACTCTAGCTGTGTTGAAACTGCAAATCCCAGTATGCCTCTATCTCTAGGAGTTGTGCCTGTGGCTGTCAGTCTTGCAGTGCCTCATGGGACTTGTAGTTCTGTAACAGCTGGAGTGCTGAGGTTACCTACCCCTAGTATTTTTCTGACAGTCTGAATTGTGGCCTTAGCTTCTTAAAGTGCCTGAAATATATTTACCAAAGTATTTACATATTCTGAACAAGCAGTAAAAGCACTTTAAAACACTCACTCACCTATGCAGCTCTAGGCATTGTGGAGAAATTCACTTTAAAAGTTCACCTTACCGCTGCTGACGACACATCTGTATGGCCCTTTCCATCACAAATGCCCCCGCCAGGGGGGCATGAATGTCATGGCCCTAGTTGTTATGGCTAAGCCATACACACGATGGCCTCCACCCAGCATGGTGTGGCTTGCCTATAGGAAGTAATCTGCAAATGCCATGGCCCCATTTATTCTTATGGCTAAACCGTACACATGGGGGCCTCCAATCAGCAGGGTACGGCTTACCCATAGGAAATAATTTGGCTGTGGCACACATGACCTGGAGGGGGGTGGGGGGTGGAGATGGGTCTCCAGTATCCAACAAACACTGAAATTCCAGTTTTAGTGCAACTGGCCCCTTTGAATATTGCTTAGAGTTGCTGTTCAGAAGTTGTTGCTTCACGGTTTTTGTCCATAAGGGTTAAAAGATGGCTATGCAGAGGAAAATTCCAGTTGCAGAGGAGCAGCCCTGCAAGGGTTAAGCTCTGAGTGCTTTTTTCCGCCCGTTAAGCTTCGGTCCATTAGTGGGATATGGGCTTGTGAAAGGCTGCGTTTCCGGAGATCAATAGAGATATTATTGCTTCCTGTTGGGAATGTGCGGTGCTGGAGCTTGATGGGGAGATGGCTGAAAGCAGAAAATAGCCTTTTGACTCATCTCCTGTCCCATATAGATCCGTTGATCCTATAGCGCTATAATTACCCCGCCACCTTCCTTCCGTATCCTCTTCCCACTTAATTATTGATGGCGAGATTGTCCTGGCTGCGGATGTGTAATGGGTAACTCAAGTGCAGCCATGACCGTTTCTAATCTGATAAGATGTCCAGCCCCCCCCCCCAATACCTTTCTGTGTGGCTTTGCTCATTTCATCCATCGCTGCAAGATCTTGAAGTGAAAATTACATAAACGGATCAAAGAGCAGGAAAGCATGCGATCGTTGCAGATATTGCACTCGTAACTGACATGAAAAATGGTTACTGATGCAACCTGCGCTAGGGCATTTGGGGGGTTACTGTGCCATTGGCCAAGAAATACAAAAGCTGTAATCGCTTTTTGAAACATTGCCGTTTTTTTAAAGCACAAAAGCGATTTGTAACATATTATAATATATATTTATATATTAATAGACACTAAATAGAACGAGGAAAATGTGCGTATGATTTGGCTGCTTAAACAAAAGTAATTGAACCCTAATGATGCCACCTGATTCCAGCAATATGTTAACCCTGTGCAATGGTCTAATTACTGTTAATGTATCTACTGCCACAATGTGATGAAGACTTGAACCCTCTCTTTGAGGTTATTGCAGGTTGTGGAGATTTACTTTTGCCCTGGTCACCTTCACCTGGTGACTGGGACTAAAAGCGATGACAAGTCCAAAGTTCTAAAGTTGTCGCCAAAACAAGAAGAGATGGAAAATGTTCCAATGGAGATGCTTGTTCTGGTGACCACTTAAGAGGGGGGGGATCTCTCTCGCTTTTGTAGAGATTTCCTTGAAGACTGCCAGTTGTGTCTATAGAAATGATGAAAACCTCCACAAAGGGACACATGACCCAAAAACTTTACCCTTTCCAAAATTAAAAGAAGAAATGTTTTGGCTTTAGATGCATTAAGCTGGATTCAGACCATTGTGTTGCAGTAACATGCCTTAGGGTGCTTTAGGAGGATTGGTGCAAAGTCATTTTCAATAGCACCCGATCGCACCTCCACACCGTACCCAACATAATGTGCTGAGTTGGGGGAAAAAGGGGGGGGGGGGGGGGCAGATATGCTTTCTTGGCTACTCTGATGCGTTGGCAGCCTAACTTAATGGAACCGTGCATTATTGCAGAACATAAAGCACACACGTGAATAAGCCCTTAATATGTAGTGGTTTTCTTACTAAGTAACAGTGAAACAATTAAAATTTGTTAATAGAATTTATTGACCGCCATGCCTAACTCTGCCAAGAATGACTGAGCCGACCTTTAGTGCTTTTGTTAAAATGTACTTTGATATACTGCTAAGTGACAGTACTTTTAAAAAGCAGTTTTGGGTTATTATAGCAGAAGGAGATCCTTTTTTCTTTCATAGGGGTAACGGTAAATATTACCGGTGACCGGCCACTTCTGCTCTTCATGTCTGCTGCGCAGTTAGGGCAGAGACGGCATATTCTTTAGGAGGCTTAAGGGATTAGGCTAAATGACAGGTCCATCTTGTAGTAACCCACAAGAGGTTACAAAGTCAAGTGCGCATCCTGTCTGCTAAAAGCACTGATTTTGAGATTAGCCGTGGGGGAGGTGGGTGCTGAGCTTTGTATGGGCACTTTGCCTGATCTAGGTTATACTTGAGAAGATTCTGTGCCTACCTGAGGCTGAGAGGGGGGTCTTGGAGTGAAAACGATGGAGGAGTTTTTGATGCCTCCTTCCAGATCTGTGTAGGCTGGGACAGCGGGAGTCGTGTGTGGGCTTAATGTGATTCACTGGCTTATAATTCCAGGGTACGGAGCCAAAGATCACAAATGGAACTTCACATTCCATTTTTAGATTAGCGCTCTTTCATCGTGAATATTACTCATGGTCTTGAAAACCCACTCTGCTATTCTAGTCATCGAACAATCAATATTATTATTGGGTTTTGTGGCTGTTTTTGTTCGTGTGTGTAATATGCGTATTTGTGCGTAATAAAACCCTACAGATATAGCTTCTGACCTAAAACAGCCGCAAGGTCCAACATAAGACCTATAATCCTTTTTTATAGTCTGATTCTAAAGTGTATCTAAAGCCCACATTTTGTTTTATTTAGTTTTGGATAGATAGAACCCCTGTCAGGGTTTTCACAGTAATTCTTTAAATAGTGATGAGTGCTAGGTTAACCCGTGTATATTAAAAGGTGTATTGGAGTCAACTGGCATCTTTGTCCTAGGATTGTTATAGGTGGTCCTTACAAAGTACATATAGGGTAAGGAATAGAAGAACAGTCCGGAATTGTATTTTGTGTCAAATTGGCTTGAAAAAGCTAATGCATTTTGGGGGCCACAAAAATCCTCCTTCAGAGCTTGATTTCTTTCAGGGGAAGGGGATTTTTTTTTTTGCCCCACACATACATTTTGAGAGCTACCTTGTTTATCCTGTCGAAACTTATCGTAGGTCCATCTTCTCTTTTTTTTATCAGGGCAGTCCTGTTGAGATCCTTCCATTCCTCTACCTTGGCAGCGCCTACCACGCGTCCAAGTGTGAATTCCTCTCCAGCCTTCGCATTACGGCCTTACTCAACGTCTCCAGAAAAAGCACTGGATGTATGAAAGACCAATACGATTACAAATGGATTCCTGTGGAGGACAACCATACCACGGATATCAGTAGCCACTTCCAAGAGGCGATAGATTTTATTGGTGAGTGGAGCCATTCTGAGCTGGTGTTAAATTGCAGCCTTTACTTTGTTTCAATATGGGTTTTTTTATTGAGTAATACAAGTTACAATGCAAAAACATTAGGTTGTATATTAGGCATATAATAAGAACAAACACATCCTGGAATCACAATAATTAATATATAAAGTATACTCCTCTTTCCGGCAGTGGAGACCTGGGGTCCAAACTGTGGGAAGGGGCAGAGGCCCAATAGGGTAGTAGATAATGCGGTAACATAACTATGGTCCAGGAATGTAGTCTGTGGATTCGAAAGACATCAAGCAAGTCGGATACGACCAAGTGAATAATGCGTACGAGTGAAAAATATTTAAGATTAGTTAGAAAATAAAGAAGGGTACAGAGATTAGATAGAGGAATAAAACATAGAAAAGGTGTGACACCTTCGAATACAAGTAAGACCATCCATAATATCAGGACCACCATATGATCAAATTTTACATAGAGGGCGCAACAACCAACATTTCCAAGCCGCACAGAATTTGTGATACCTGTTTCTGATAGCAAACATTTGTTCGTATGAGCAGTGAAGATTCACCTTGCGAACTACATCCGTGTAGCTCGGAGGTTCCGAATCCAACCGCATTTGACTGATCTGGGTTTTTGCTGCTATCAAAACGTGCATTATAACCGTTCTTGATGTGGGGAGCAACTGTTGGGAAGATATAAAGTACTTAATCAAATATTCTACGGGATAGACATTCTCATTTTTAGATTTTAAGTTGAGGTGGGGGGCATACTGATTGTAATTAAATATATTTTGTTTGCTTTGGATCTTGGCTTGGATAAGTTTTGGGTCAATTCTAGTCTGTGGCTTATAGCTTCAAAAGTACGGACTGGTTTACCATCCAAGATATAAATGTTTTTTCTTAGGCCTTGTTCACACCAAATGCAGAGCAGATCCGGTCAGGTTTCTGCACACGCACGCTAGTCTTTTAGTCCTCGTTCACACCTGAACGTTTTGTAGCGCGTTTTACGCTCGAGGAATGCTCTACAAAACGCTCAAAAATATAAATCCTATTGTATTCAATAGTCTCGTTCCCACCTTGGCGTATTTCCGCCCGTCCCTAACGCGCTACAAAACGGCCCACGACTGAAAAGGTACATGTACTACTTTGGGCCGTTTTGGTGCGCGTTTCCATTGGGATACAGTCAAGTAGCCTTCGGAAACGCGTGTTTGTCGCACAACTTTTTTACCGCGAATCGCAGTAAACAAAAAATGTGCGACGGTCGCGCGACAGACGCGCATATGCAACACGCCTAGGTGTGAACGAGACCTTAGACCCTTTTTTGAGGAGTTTTTTTATGCGTTACGGCCTCTTTTTAGTTAAAAAATAAATAAGTAAATTAAGTTTAAAATGGGCTTTCAGTGCGTTCCAGGCATTTGCATGTGTTTTTTGATGCGTTCCAGAGCAGGTAAAATAGGACCTGCTGCAGTTTTTTCACCTGCTCTGGATCTGCTCTGCAACTGCATGCTGCAATGTGAACTGCAGCAAAAAATACCATTGGAATACATTGGACACAGTTTTGATCCGGTCTGTAACTGCTCTGCTCCGCGCTAAGGCCTTAGGTTGTCCGTATTAAATTTGCAGTTCAGTCGGCACAATAAATGTTTTGGTAGTTTGAAACGGTTCAAAACAATGTTTCGTTTTGAAAGGTCTCAAGTTTGTAAAGTCCATAAAATGTTATTAAATTGGCTACCCAAGTGTTCAAATGATGTATCAGATTTGCTAAGCATTATACCAGTGTTGCCAAACCACAAACTAATTTAGCTCTGGAACAGTTTTCACACACAAAGAACGAGGTCTGAGGGTAATTTTAAAGTTGCACATGAAGAATTTTTAGTTTTACTGCATAATAGATAGCAGAAAACTCTAGGGGTTTGAACATTTTTACAACTGTCATCCCCAAAGCCCCAACCATTTAATTAAAGCCTCTGTCTATTTAAGGCCATTAGAGAATGCTTCAAAGGGAGACCTAAACAGAACAGCTTTGTAATTACAGGAACCGGTGCTCTAACACGGCCAATTTGTCTTCAGTAGGAGGTAACTTCTGGCGTGTCTCCTACAAGGACAAAGCTTTTA